ACAGAGAAATGTGGACCCGCGGGCGGGTGCCATTAGTTCTAATGGCACAGCCGCCCGCACTGGAAAACGCAATCGCAATCGTGATGGGAGCCAAGGTTGCCGAGCGGGCTGCGTTTTCCAAAGAAGTGCAGGAACTTCTTCCCTGCATGTCACGGGCCGGGAGTCCATTCAAATGAACGTGCTCCCGTGCCCGTGCAAAACGCGGCCCGAACGGCCGAATAGAGGTGAATCGGGGGTCAGAACCATTTGAACGGCATAAGTGCTCTACATGTGGTTAGCCTGAGCTGCCAAAAATCATTTTTAAAAAATTATACAAAGTAGCAATCCAGAGTAAAAATGTTTACAGATGATCACAGACAATCTATTACTTCCCAAGATACATTTAACCTCCCCAGCGGTCTGATTATTTCAGATTTTTGGTGCTGAAAGCGGTACCATTATTTTGCATGGAAATATGTAGTTTTTTTATTGTAGGCTGTAATTTTTAGGAATAACTCACTGAAATCTGTCCGAACAAGAGAGTCTAGTAAACATCCCGGGTAGGATAAAATTTGAAACATGAAATCATAAATTATAATTTAATAAATAATCATAAAAAATAATAATATAATAATAATAAATGTAATTCAATAATATAATCAAACCAAAAACACTGAAATTTGAAATATAGCGCCAAGTTCGCACATCACTGAGCAAAGTCACAAAATCGTTTTCAGTGTCTGATGACGAATTTCCCCACGAATCATTATCACTCAATTCTGCTAGTGGTTCTGATTTACTATCGCTGTTCTCTAGCTGGTCTAAACCCGCTTTTGGCCTAAAGGGATGCTTTTTGGACGCCATGGACGTTTCTCAGTTTCCAGGCAGAAAGAACAGACAAAAACCATTGAAAAGGGCGATGAAAGAGTGCCAACTGGTGGATAGCTGGAGAATTGTCCACATGAGAGAGAGAGATTACACTTTCTTCTCTAGTGTACATAGGACATACTCTAGATTGGACTATATTTTGCTGGACCATCGACTTGTTGAGGATTTGGTTAAAGCAGAAATAGAAGCAAAAACTATCTCGGACCATGCACCTGTAGTAATGGAATTAAAATGGGGAGGGAAAAGGTCAGGTGGTTTATCATGGAGGTTGAATGAGACACTCCTCACAGATCCAGATACTGACCGGAAGATCAGGGAGGAGATAGAGAGGTTCTTTGAGGAAAATGAAACAGAGGATGTATCACTAGCTACAGTGTGGGAGGCACATAAAGCATATGTAAGAGGAATCCTTATTGCGATTGGGGCAAAGAAAAAAAAGGGAAAGACGCGAGAAGATCAGTGGGCTTTTGAAGGAAATAGCTGAGATGGAACTCCTACATAAAAATAACATAAGGGGAGAGATAGAGCAAAGAGTGATAAAAAAGAGAGAAGAACTAGAGAAAGTAATGGAGGAAGAAAAAATGAGAACTTTTAATAAGATCATTGGTGAAAGATATAGATGGGGAGACAGACCAGGAAAATATCTGATGAGAGCCTTGAGGAGAAAGAAGAATAGGAATTATATAGATAAAATAAAAAACTCCAAGGGAGAGTTAGTCCATTCAACTAAAGATATTGCAAAGGTATTTAAAAATTACTACAGTAAATTATATAATATTGCCCCTAAGGATGTTATAAATAAAGATAAAATGACAAATATTGATAAAAGAAGGGATTATTTAAGAAATGCAGGATTACCAAAATTGAGTGAAGAACTATTAAACTCCTTAGAATCCGAAATCACGCAGGAAGAACTAAAAATAGCATTAAAAAGCTTTAAGACGGGAAAAAAAGCCCAGGCCCAGATGGATATACTGTGAGGTATTATAAAAAATACAGTGATTTACTGCTACCTAAATTAAAGAGATATATGGAGGCGTTGGGGGGAGAGATGGAAATAAGAGAGGAATCCCTTCTGGCACAGGTGGTCCTAATACATAAGGAAGGTAAAGATATCACCCATTGTGCAAGTTATAGACCGATATCGCTATTGAACGTAGATACGAAGCTGTATGCAAAAGTATTGGCGAATAGGTTAAGGGATCTGATGCCAGATTGGATTCATGGAGACCAGGTAGGCTTTGTTAGAGGAAGAGAGGGTCGAGATAATGGGTTGAGGTCCCTGATGCTTATACAGAAGAGTAAAATGGAAAAAAATCCAGTAGTGCTGCTCTCGATAGATGCGGAGAAGGCGTTCGATAGGGTTAACTGGAGTTTTATGATGGATACACTGGAGGTCCTGGGACTGGGTAGTAGGATGAGAAAGTGGATTGGAAGATTGTATGAAGGACCGTCTGCGATGGTAATGGTAAACGGAGAGAGATCAGAGACCTTTCCAATGTCAAATGGAACCAGACAGGGATGCCCACTGTCCCCCCTGTTGTTTGTTTTATCACTGGAACCCCTGTTATCAACAATTAGGAAAAATATAGATATAAAGGGAATAAATGTTGGAAAGATAGAACATAAGATAGCCGCATTTGCGGACGATTTATTATTCTATGTTGGAAACCCAAGGATAACACTTCCTAACTTAATGAAAACACTGAAGGAATATGGGGAAATGTCAAATTTAAAAATTAACCCGAGCAAAACAGAGATATTAAATATAAATCTTCCAAAAAGTGAAAAAGAAAATATACAGAGAGAGTTTCCCTTTATATGGAAAAATAGAGAAATAAAGTACCTGGGAGTAAAACTCACTCCCTCACAGAAGAATCTCTATAAAGCTAATTATATCCCAATGTTAAATGAAATCAGAGAGGAATTGAGGAAAATGGGTGGAGGAAATCCCTCCTGGCTGGGCCGTATTAATCTGATAAAAATGGTAATTCTCCCTAAGATACTGTATAAATTCCAGATGATTCCCATTAATCTTCCAGGGGTGTATTTTAGGACAATCAAGCGAATGGTTACTAAATATATATGGAAAAATAAAAAACCTAGGATATCATATGAAGTGCTAAGCAGAAATAAAGGAAAAGGAGGGTTGGGAGTCCCGGATTTCAAAAGATACCACAGGGCAGCCATCCTAGCGAGAATTTTTGACTGGACACACAACTTAAAGAGTAAACATTGGGTCACAATAGAAAATACACTTAGTAGAAAGGATTTGGGTAGGAGCGTATGGGTGCCACCACAATTTAGAGAATTAGAGGAGAGCACGAGTGTATACACGAGGATTGTAATAAGAGAATGGGATAAAATGCACAAACAGAGGAAATGGGATTGTAATTCATTATTAATGTCACTAAGAAATTCAGACTTTTTTCCCCCAGGTAAAGAGGAAATCTCAGGTAGATGGATTATGAAGGAAGACGCTCAGTTGAGAGATGTAATGGAGGGGGGTAAACTTAAGAACACTGGAGGATTTGAAAAAGGAAGAGGGAAGGATTTTCACTGGGATAGATAAATGGAGATATAATCAATTAAAACAATTTGTGGAGAAATTAACGAAGCCCCTTAGAACTAGGAAAGAATGGAATGAACTCGAGAAATATTTAGAAGATAGAGGTGATGGGAAACACAGCACTGCCAAAGCATATAAAGCTCTCACGGATTTAGATAGTAAGTTTAAATTAAAGTATATAGAAAAATGGGAAAAGGATTTAGGAGTGGAGTGGGAAGAACACACACAGAGGAAAATATATAGAATGGTACATGAAAATATTAGTATGCGTGAAGTGGAAATGAATTTTAAATGTTTGACAAGGTGGTATGTCACACCGGTGATAGAGCACAAGATGAGTGAGGAGAAGCAACCCTGGTGTTGGCGAGGATGTGGAGGGTTGGGCACGATGTATCACATTTGGTGGGAATGTCCAAAAATACACACATACTGGGAAAAAGTTACAAACCAAATCAAAATTCTCACTGGAGTGGAGATAGGATTGGATCCTGAAATCTGTCTTTTCCATAACTCAATGATATCTGGAAATAAATATAAAGAACTGGGCATACTGGGCTACCTAAACGCAGCAAAAAGTCTGATTCCTAGGTTTTGGCGTAAGGTTGAGGCACCGACCGAGTGAAGAAGATTGGATGAATAGAGTAGATCAGATTGCTAGATTGGAGAAACTCTATTATCTACAGGAAGATAGGATGGTGATGTATCATGCGAAATGGGAGAAATGGGAGGAGTTCAAAGTAAAGGTAAAGAAAGGTACTGAGTAAGTAAGCATAAAGAAAAGGGAAAGAGAGGATAAGAAGAAACGAAGAGAAAAGAGGTGGGGAAAGGATTAGGAAAAGGGAGAGAATATAGTAATTAGCATCTCTTTCTTTCTTAGTCTTTCTCTTCGGTTCTCAAACCTAGGTCTCCAGAGAATATGAGATACAAGCCAATCAGTCAGATGTCAGGGGTATATAGTAGCGGGGTGGGGGAGGTGGGTGGGTAATGGGTTAAGGGAGCTATGGGGAGAAAATGAAAATGATACGAAACCAATGATTTATGAGAAATTGTAATAATATATTTTCAATATATGGAAATATGTATTGTTTTTTAAATGAAAAATGAATAAATATTTAAATTATAAAAAAAAAAAAAAGAAAGAACAGACAAAATGCAGGCAGGGCACAGGACAAAGCACTCGGGACAAAATGTATGTGAAATGGGTTGAAACAGCAATGTTTTACTATGAAAAATTTTTTTTAAAAAAAAAAAAAATGAAATTTTTTTAAATTTTCAAATTTCCCGCCGCCAGCGGCGCCCGTACGTCCCGACGTCACAGGGACCGGAACACAGAAGCCGGATGCCGGCATCAGCCGGAGGAGATGGCCGGGGACGCTGCAGGGGACACATCGCGGGAGCGCAGGACAAGGTAAGCTCTGCAGGGACTCCCTATGCAGCGCCGCATGGTAAGCCCGAGTGTAGCTCGGGGTTACCGCTTTTGGTACTGACATTTTACCCCGAGCTACACTCGGGAATACCGCTAAGGAGGTTAATAGGAGAAAGTATTATATGTTACTAATCCCAGGACCCTGCATCCACTATATCTGCTCTCCCACAGTACACAGAACATGGAAGTGCAATTATTTTAGTAAAATATAAACTGCTAATTCCCTTTTCTCATCAGCAGTTAGAGCAGTCTTCTATCAGTGTCCAGCAGAGTACTGGTTAAAGTTTATAGGAGGAATTTTAATTCTGCTCTAGGAGGATGCAGAACCCCTGACCTCTGTCTGGACAGTGCAGATTGGCCCAGTGCTGATCACATGCACTCCCCCAAGAAAAAAAACTCTCTAGCAAACTGAGCATGTGCAGATTGACCCACACATATGTCTTATCAGGTGATACAAGTTTGGATACTGGAAGAAGGGGGAGGATCAGAGAAGTCAGGATGAAAACAGCCTTTTTAGACAATGCAGAGGAATAACCCCTTAAGTTCCACATTGAGTATATCAAGCATGCTTTACTACATATACAGACTGATTTTGCGGTTGTGGGTTTAGTAACCCTTTAAGTGTCTTTCGAGGCGATGGACTTGTCTACCAGTGCCATCAGTGTACAGAACACCTCCAGGCAGCCATATTGCATTACAGTTTACAGAAACGTTCAGTGCTGCAGATTGAAAAAGAAAGGTAATTTTTTAATAACATTCAATTACAATAGGACTTGTGTAGTAATTGTATGCACTATATTAATCTTATTTACTATTTTATTTCCAACAAAATTGGAGTTACCCTTTAGGACTCCATGCACATGGGGCCTTTTAAGAACGCTGGTAGCGCTAGCTGTGTAAAGTCACGTTAAAAATGCAAAATTTGTTTAGCATTTTTGCAGTGGCATATAGCCGCATTTTTCCACGTTTGTGTTTTTTAGCGGTTTTCCTAAGAGAAAAAAAAAAAACCTCTCTAGCAATACACACCAAACTGAGAATGTTATACACAATGTAGAGGATTACCTCCTTAGGGTCCACACTTAGTATAACAAACATGCTTTACTGCATATACAGACTGATTTTACTGTTGTGGGCTTAGTAACACTTTAATAAAAGAAATGTAATAAAAGGTCATTTAATAAAAGAACGTATTAAAGTTCTTTATGATCATATATTGCAAGTTATTTTATTATTATTTTTTAATTAGTTTTTTGTTGTTTTTCTTTTCCAATTGTTTTTATAAAATTTTCTTACCATAGGTTCACACCTAAGCGTTTTCTGCAGCATTTTGAAAAAACACAGTACAGTGCAGTCCATTTACCTTGATTTCCTATGGGACACGTTCACATCTCCGCGTTTTCACCCAGTGCATTTTTTGGAAAGAGTCAGGGACTTTTTTGAACGCAAAAAGTTGCATTTTTGGTTCTATAGACTTCAATGTAAATGCTGCAGAAAAGCATGTATTGCGTTTTTACTGCGTATTTGATGCGTTTTGCCATGTTTTTGATGTGTTTTGCATTTTAAATCTGCCTAGCAACAAGACAAATAAAAAAAAAAATGCAAAACACATAAAAAAATGCAGCAAAACCACAGGTGCAAGAGTGCAAAACACAATGCAAAACGCAATGCAAAAAACGCCTCAAATGCAACCTGCATAGGTGTGAACCTAGCCTTGCAGAAGGTTCAGCAACAAGATCATAATCATTGCCAACTTTTTTGTTGTCTTATATTATTTTTGTATTGCGGGGGAGCTCCCTCTGTCAGAGGGCCCAGGGCAGTTGACCCATTTGCCCCTTAAAAATCCAGCACTGCATAGAGCAGCCCATAGAAATCAATGAGCTGTCCTAGACACAACATGCAGAAACATGCGGAAATGCATGTACGCATGGCATGGTCGCACCTCCATAGTGTGAATGGAGCCTTGGTGTGTATGATTAAGCAGGAGATCGCGTGAAACGCATTAACAGGTCCTGTATTCATGTCCTGGTGTTTTGTGTGTCCTATGGATCAATAAGTACACACTATATTCATCTATCCTCCGGTGTGCGGCTGACCCTTCTTCCTATTGCAGAGTCCTGGTAGACCGGATGTAGTGAATGCAGAGTCCTGGTAGACCGGATGTAGTGAATGCAGGGTCCTGGTAGACCGGATATAGTGTATGCAGGGTCCTGGTAGACCGGATATAGTGTATGCAGGGTCCTGGTAGACCGGATATAGTGAATGCAGGGTCCTGGTAGACCGGATATAGTGAATGAAGGGTCCTGGTAGACCGGATATAGGTAATGCAGGGTCCGGGGAGAACGAGATATAGTGAGTTCAGTGTCCTGTGAGTTCGGATATAGTGAATGCAGGGTCCGGGGAGACGGGATATAGTGAGTGCAGGATCTGTGGGGACCGGATATAGTAAGTGCAGGGTCCGGGGGGACCGGATATAGTGAATTTGGGGTCATGGGAGAATGGATATAGTGAATGCGGGGTCCGGGGGGGACCAGATATAGTGGATGAAGGGTCCAGGGAGACTGAATATAGTGAATGCAGGGTCCGGGGAGACCGGATATAGTGGATGCGGGGTCCGGGGGAGACCGGATATACTGAATGCGGGGTTTGGGGAGACCGGATATACTGAATGCGGGGTCCGGGGAGATCGGATACAGTGAGTGCGGGGTCCGGGGGAGAGCGGATACAGTGAGTGCGGGGTCCGGGGAGATCGGATACAGTGAGTGCGGGGTCCGGGGAGATCGGATACGGTGAGTGCGGGGTCCGGGGAGAGCGGATACGGTGAGTGCGGGGTCCTGGGAGATCGGATGCGGTGAGTGCGGGGTCCGGGGAGAGCGGATACGGTGAGTGCGGGGTCCGGGGAGATCGGATACGGTGAGTGCGGGGTCCTGGGAGAGCGGATACGGTGAGTGCGGGGTCCGGGGAGATCGGATGCGGTGAGTGCGTGGTCCGGGGAGAGCGGATACGGTGAGTGCGGGGTCCGGGGAGATCGGATACGGTGAGTGCGGGGTCCGGGGAGATCGGATACTGTGAGTGCGGGGTCCGGGGAGATCGGATGCGGTGAGTGCGGGGTCCGGGGGAGAGCGGATACGGTGAGTGCGGGGTCCGGGGAGATCGGATACGGTGAGTGCGGGGTCCTGGGAGAGCGGATACGGTGAGTGCGGGGTCCGGGGAGAGCGGATACGGTGAGTGCGGGGTCCGGGGAGAGCGGATGCGGTGAGTGCGGGGTCCGGGGAGATCGGATGCGGTGAGTGCGGGGTCCGGGGAGATCGGATGCGGTGAGTGCGGGGTCCGGGGAGATCGGATGCGGTGAGTGCGGGGTCCTGGGAGATCGGATACGGTGAGTGCGGGGTCCGGGGAGATCGGATGCGGTGAGTGCGGGGTCCGGGGAGAGCGGATGCGGTGAGTGCGGGGTCCGGGAGATCGGATGCCGTGAGTGCGGGGTCCGGGGAGATCGGATGCGGTGAGTGCGGGGTCCGGGGAGATCGGATGCGGTGAGTGCGGGGTCCTGGGAGTTCGGATACGGTGAGTGCGGGGTCCGGGGAGATCGGATGCGGTGAGTGCGGGGTCCGGGGGAGAGCGGATGCGGTGAGTGCGGGGTCCGGGGAGAGCGGATGCGGTGAGTGCGGGGTCCGGGAGAGCGGATGCGGTGAGTGCGGGGTCCGGGGAGAGCGGATGCGGTGAGTGCGGGGTCCGGGGGAGAGCGGATGCGGTGAGTGCGGGGTCCGGGGAGAGCGGATGCGGTGAGTGCGGGGTCCGGGGAGAGCGGATGCGGTGAGTGAGGGGTACGGGGAGATCGGATACGGTGAATGCGGGGTCTGGGGTTTAGTAACACTTGAATATACATGTTACTGCAGGACAGCACATATAATGGTAGCTGACAAGACCTGTGAGATCTCTATCACACCTGGAGGAAGAGATTCTTTCTGACAAAACTTCTATCACCATGACAACCAGAGAAAACTGTTACTATGTTTCAATTGTCTTCTGAATGGTGGGGGGCGTGGCCCGGCTGTAACGCCGCTGTTCTAGAATGCGGGAGTGGGCGGGGAGAAGGAGCGAATGGGCGGAGTGAAGGCTAGAGCGGCATGAGTGGCGCTAAACAGACAGCTGAGAGAGCTGATCCCGGGCGATCGGTGATTCCCCGGAGAGATCGGCGGAGCGCACACTGCACAGGTAGGAGAGCCGGCCCCGTACTGATCTGTGCGATCTCTATTAATGTTGGAGTCGCTCTGTATCCATGATGTATCTCATCGGTGATCACTGCTGGTGAATGATCGGCTGCTGCTTGTGCAGAGAACTTGCAATCTAATCGTTATCGATCAAATTCAATGTATTGCAAGAAAAAGAGAAAACCTAAGCTGGCCATACACGTATAGATTTTAGTTCTAGAATATTCGTTTGATTTTCTGATCGTTAGTGGGGTCAGATCGATGTTCTATTTCGACAGCAGTGACAGGAAAAGTCAAAGGGTAGGAAGGAAAACTTTTCCCGATCCAACGAATTTTCAGCCAGTGTATGTGGTTATCGTTCTGAAATTACATTCATTTTTAAAATCGAATGTTAAAAGCAAAAGACAATTTTCAAATGACATCCATCCATTCATCGAATGTTCAAATAATTTTCAAACTACTTTTACGAATATTCTAGTGCAAAAATCTACATGTGTGTGGCCAGCCTTGATTTAAAGGTGTGGGTTTTTTTTTGGTTTTTTTTTATTACTTTCCCAAAGCTGGCCATAGACTCAGTGATGTCCTGAGGCAGGTGCGGAGGGGTGACACCGACCACACGGGGTGACACCAGACCCTCTCCACGAAAAGGTAAGTAGTAAAGCAAGCCAACGATCCCCGGAGGATGAATCGGATCCATCCTGCGGGGATCGTCGGCTTTCTTTACTACTTACCTTTTCGTGGAGCGGGTCCGGTTTCACCCCGTATAGGTTGCGTGCCGACGATCCCCGCAGGATGGATTGGATCTGTGGATTGGGGAGCATAATGGATCGGAGTCCGATCCATTATGCTCAATCCGCAGATCCGATCCATCCTGCGGGGATCCTTGGAGGGGGTGTCACCAAGCGTTATCGCACCTGGTGACACTAACCCTAGGGACACCCCTGCATAGACTATAGAATCAGCTGTAGATTGACCCAAATGATGTAATGGGAGGACACACCTAAACAGTCCATTCAGGCTAGGCTCACACCTCTGCAGTTTGTGTTGGACCCGTTTCTGTATTGCAATTTATTTTGTGTTTTTGATGTTTTGCATTTTTATTTATTTTCTTGTTGCTGGGCAAATTTAAAACGCAGCAAATGCACACTACATGAATTTCTGCAGCGTTTCTGTTGCAGTCTATAGAACCAAAAATGCAACTTTTTGCATAAAAGTCCGTTGGCCCGAGTTCACAGTGACGCGGTGCAGAATTCACAGTGTTTTCTGTGCGAATTCTGCACCGCGTCAGAATTGTACCCATTCATGCGAACCGCTGCGGGTGTGTATGTTACGTTAACAACACCATGAAATCAGTCTGCAAAATGTGTTGCGATGTGCAGAATTGGATCTCATAGGTGTTAATACCCATGCGATCCAATTCTAGTGCAGACCAAAAAAAGGGTCCTGCACCTTTTTGGTGTGGATGTGATGCGATTTGAGCCATACAAAATATATGGCTCCAATCGCACCACACACAATTCGCATGTGATTTGTACAGGAATGCGGTGCGGTTCCTGTGAAGATCACATGCGATATGCTGCACCGTACAAGTGTGAACCCAGGCTGACCCTTTCCAAAAAAACGCTCCAGGTGAAAACGCCGAGATGTGAACGTGTCACATAGGAAATCATGTTAAATGGACTGTATCGCGTTTCTGTAGAACACTGCAGAAAATGCTCAGGTGTGAACCTAGGGTCAATCTGTATGCAATTAGGCCTTGCACTGCGTAGTCAGTGGTAGATCTAATGCAGGCCATAGACGGGTCGAACATCGGCCGATTTTTTTTTTCGAAAAATAAACCCAAAAAATCGGTCGTTTGTTCGGCCGACGTTACCACCAACAGTAAAAAAAAAATTGGCCGACAAAATCAGAAAGTTCACCCCATAACGTCTGTCCCTTGTAGGTCACGGCTCGTGTGCGTATTTTTTATCGGTAAAATGATCGGCTGATGTGCTCATCGTTGCCGGGAAAAATCGGCCGTGAATTTTCAAACATGACCGGTAAAAAAAACTGTGCAAAAAACCCGAAAAACGGCCAACCAATTAACCCACTAACAGTGCGAAAATTGTCCCCTTTTTTTTTTTTTTTTTTTTTTGGCCGAAAAATCGGACGATTTTCGACCCGTCTATTCCCAGCATAAAACTGGCCATACATTATACAATTTCCTTTAGATTTACCGTCAGCTATGTAGTGCAAGGGCCTGCCTGATTGCATACACATTGAAAGTGTTTAGGTGGGACCTCATATTATATGGTTTTGGTAAATCTAACAGAAAATTGTACAGGAATATTGTGTGATCTCCTGCACATGGGGCCGTTCAGCTGTAGTGCGCCCCCTCCCAGTGCTTCAGGGCCGGTTCACGCCACAACGCCTGCATTCGCGACAGCCCGTTCATTTCGATGAGTTGCCAAAATGGTTTATTGGATGCTACTGTTTAAAATCAGATAATATGTGTTGCGTTAATAGCCCGGGTTCACATATGCGGTGCAGCATATCGGAAGTGATTCGCACAGGAACCGCACTGCATTCCTGTGCAAGTCACATACGATTTCTGTGCGCTGCGATTTGAGCCATACATTTTCTATGGCTCAGATCACACCGCATCCACCCCGAAATAGTGCAGGACTTTTGTCCGTACCAGAATAGGATCGCATGGGTATTCACACTCATGCTATCCGATTCTGCACATCGCACCGCGTTTTGTGAACCGATTTGGGAGTGTTGTTAACATACACACCCGCAGTGGTTCGCATGAACGGGGTGAGATCACGGTGCGGTGCGGAAATCGCACAGAAACTGGTGTGAAATATGTGCAAAAATACAATGAAAATATGAATAATCTAATACGAGACCCAAAAAGTCTTAGTAATAAATTGCCAATAAAGTGCAAAAATATGCAAAAAAAAAGTGTACGAGACATGAAATCAATAGTCTACTATTAAATATGGGCAAAAATGCAATTCAATTCTGAATAATTTCAATATAATACATAACCAATGGAGTGCAAAAATATAAACCAAATTAATATTAAAGTGCACTACTTGTTACGATCACACTGTAGCAAATCGCATGGTACTGCAATACTATGTGTTCTGATGGCCACTTTGTTAGACGCGTTTGGGGTGGCATTAATAAAGGTGCGTCTAATGAGTACAGCCTATTGCGCTGTACCACAGTTGGTGTGAACGGGCCCTAATGCAGGCCATACATGGTTCGAATTCCGAACGATTTTTCGTCCGAAAATCGGAAATGTTGTTCGCTCGGTAATTCGATGGTGCCATCATGGATTTCGAATATCGGCCGACCAGGTCATAAAGTTCACCCCATATAACAGGCAAAACTTCTGTTTCTTCCAGGTCATGGCTCATGCGCATATTCTTTTCGGAAAAACGATTGTACCAGGGTGGATTTGATTTAAATCAAACTGTTTTAAATCACGATTTAAATCACTAGTCAGTAAGGCTTGATTTAAATCCTAGTTTTCTACATAAAGACTAATTCTTGCTGGTATAACTTTAATATGCAAGTAGATGAAGATTTTTAGAATAACTTTTCATATTAGTTTTTTTATCCCCAGTTTAATGGGTTAATCATTCATATTTGGACAACTTTTCTGTTGTACTTAGGAAGGAGAAAAATAATCATTACCTTAATAATAACAATTTAAATAGATTTATTCAACTGAAACAATAACATTCCAGCATATGTGATTTGCTTAAACAAACATCCATGTTTGGTAACTAATTTGGCTAAACAAAATATATATATTTAAGAAACTTAGACTGTCAGCCCCTTCCTCCTCACACTTAGTTTCACTTTCTTCTTGTGCAGATCTATTCCACTCCAAACAATCAGAAAAATATTGTTTCTATTCTATTCACTGAACTTCTTGAAACTTAGCACTGAATGGGTTGATTCTGTATTCATAGGTTTGTAGAAGTTAGGATGAAGGTCTTTTTCTTAACTCTGTTCATGTTATAACATTTTTGCTGTGAAGAAGAGGCATGTGATCTCCGCTGAGTCAAATTCAGTTTTGAGAACTGCAAAAGTAAACCGAGCATCTGTGATAATATCTTGTAGGAGAGAAACTGCCCAATAATCTTACAAAAACCTCTGGAAGAGCATGACATTGTGAATGGATTCATGGAATTTATTTACCAAAACAATTAAACATATACAGCCTTATTCTACAATAACTAATCTTTATTTCATGATGGAATAACCTTTGGATGGTAATATATTTTCCTCAAAAAGCATTTTATTTAAAAAAAATCTGATTTAAATCCAAAAAATCCGATTTAAATTAAAAAAATCTGATTTTTTTTTTTTTTTTAAATCATTGATTTTTATCCACCCTGGATCATACGATTTGACCATCATTAAGTCAAAAATCGGTTGTTTTTCACAAATTTCCAACATGTCCGATCATCAAAAAGGGGATGAACCATAAAAATCATCCAGTGCCATTGACCCACTAACAGAGCGAAAATCGGCCGATTATTCTTAGGTCTGATTTTCGCACATAAAATCCATCAATTTTCGACCCATGTATGGCCGGCCTTAGTGCACCCCAGGAGGGACAGATGGAGCATCTGGCTACCTGGATGTTTATGGCCAGCAGCGGCTGGACGGGGCTGAATGCTGTACTGATGTTTAGGGGCCTTCAGGGATGACATTTCGGACCCGTGTTTCAGACTTTTATCCCCAAACACACAACTCCCTAAACTTGGGTACCACTTGATGCAGTGTTCAGCCCCAGCCTGCCATAGACTTCCAGGGAAGGGGGGGATATTGCACTTGTACCTCCTGGGTGCACTGCAGCTGAACAGCCCTGCCTCCAGAGGGCCTAAGCCCCGGTTCACACTGATGCGGCTTTGAAATCTCACTGTTGGGAAAACGACCAATTTTGTGTGCGTTCCCAACAAGCACAGCCTGTGAACGTAGCCTGGCGATTTGTCCACACCAGATGCAGTCAAATGCATTTTTTAAACACACAGTACAAGTGCAAGAAGAATTAGTGCTTTCATGGGAAAAAGAGGAACGGTGCCCCGTCAGTGGTGTCAGTGGGAGGAACTGTGCCCCGTCATTGGTATCAGTGGGAGGAACGGTGCCCCATCATTGGTGTCAGTGGGAGGAACAGTGCCCTGTCAGTGGTTTCTGTGGAAGGATTAGTGCCCTTTCAGTGTCAGGTGGGAGGAATAGTGCCCCATCATTGGTGTCAGGTGGGGGGAATAGTGCCCCGTCATTGGTGTCAGGTGGGAGGAATAGTGCCCCGTCATTGGTGTCAATGGGAGGAATAGTGCCCCGTCATTGGTGTCAGTGGGAGGAATAGTGCCCCATCATTGATGTCAGTGGGAGGAATAGTGCCCCATCGTTGGTGTCAATGGGAGGAATAGTGCCCCGTCATTGTTGTCAATGGGAGGAATAGTGCACCGTCATTGGTGTCAGTGGGAGGAATAGTGCCCCGTCATTGGTGTCAGTGGGAGGAATAGTGCCCCGTCATTGGTGTCAGTGAGAGGAATAGTGCCCGGTCATTGGTGTCAGTGAGAGGAATAGTGCCCCGTCATTGGTATCAGTGGGAGGAATAGTGCCCCATCATTGGTGTCAGTGAGAGGAATAGTGCCCCGTCATTGGTGTCAGGTGGGAGGAATAGTTCCCCGTCATTGGTGTCAGGTGGAAGAATAGTGCCCCGTCATTGGTGTCAGTGGGAGGAATAATGTCCCATCATTGGTGTCAGTGGGAGGAATAGTGCCCCGTCATTGGTGTCAGTGGTAGGAATAGTGCCCCGTCATTGGTGTCAGTGAGAGGAATAGTGCCCCGTCATTGGTGTCAGTGAGAGGAATAGTGCCCCGTCATTGGTGTCAGTGGGAGGAATAGTGCCCCGTCATTGGTGTCAGTGGGAGGAATAGTGCCCCGTAATTGGTGTCAGTGGGAGGAATAGTGCCCCGTCATTGGTGTCAGTGAGTGGAATAGTGCCCCTTCGTTGGTGTTTTCGGACGAGAATATTCATAAGAAACCTCATGCAAAAATTCTTTGCACATTCGATGAATGGACGAATGTCGTTAAAAGCAAAAGACAGATTCTGAACATTGGACTTTGAGCCCTGGTTCACACTGATGCGGTGCGGAATTTGAAGCGTTTTCTGTGCGAATTCTGCACCACATCAGAATCACACCCTGTTCTAGTGCGGACCAAAAAAAGTGTCCTGCACGTTTTTGGTGCGAGTGCGGTGCAATTAGAGTCATACAAAATGTATGTCTCTATTCGCACCGCACGCAAATCACATGTGATTTGCACAGGAATGCGGCGCGGTTCCTATGCGAATCGCATGCGATATGCTGCACCACATATATGTGAACCCGGGCTTAAATGAACATAATTTCTGAACGATACCCACATACACTGGTCGAAAATTCGTTTGATGGAGGAAAGTTTTCTTTCCTGCCCCTTTGAATTTTCCCATCTCTGCTGTCGAAAATGAACATCGATTTATCCCCACTAACAATTAGAAAATCAAACAAAAATTCTTGAACGAAAATCTAAACCTGTATGGCCAGTTTATGACTGAGAACTGGGTGATCACATGACCACTGATCAGAGAACAGTGACTTTCAGTGACCTCTCTGCTGTGTTCCTCCAGCATTCACTGGAGTGTCAGTTTGGAAAAATGGTGGGTGTGACTGACTCCAGCTTCCAGCTGTACCCTGAAAGGCGGAGCCAACTGTCAATCAGGCACCTGGGGGGATCCTGACAATATTGTAAGGATCCTTCCTGAACATGGTGCAGATGAAAACATTTTTTAATAGATCCCACAGCATTATGCAGGTGCTATACAGTGATCTTGCAGTAAAGAGGGGTAAGCATAATGCTGGCCATACACACACAGTCTGATTGTACAATCTCCTTTTAGGTTTACCAAAACTTTCTCATATGAGGACAAACCTAAAACAGACCATTTTATTAGTATCAAATCAGGCTGGCCCTTGTTTTACAATCAGATTGTATATCATGTGGTCACCTTAGCAGGAACGGGTAGGCTGTTGGTTTTTCTCCAGAAGTGACGTTTCAGGTGTGCCAGGATGGGGGAGCCGCTCTTTGGCACACATTCCATGCTGTATTGCAGCAATAGAGAGATATTGAAATGTGAAGTCCGTATTTCCCAGCCAGAATGATGCTGGATTACAGTAATGAAGATTATTTATGGCTCGTGGTAGAGAATATTATGAATGTGTCAGTTGAGCTGTACTAATAACAGATTCATACTGATCTCTCTGTGTCACAGGTTGGAGATCCAAGTGAAAACGAAGACAATCCAGCAAATCTTTGTGAGATAAAAAATGATGGGGTAAGTTACCATCTCCTGGTCTCCTGGTTTAAATACTGTATATATGTCTAACCACTTGAAGACCAAGCTTTTTCTGGGATGTTTTGTTTACAAGTTTGAATCCGTATTTTGCTACAAAATAACCACCAAACATTTTATATATATATATATATATATATATATATATATATTATAATATAATTTTTATTATTTATTTTATCAAAGACCCTAGAGAATGAAATGGCAATCATTGCAATATCACATGGTATTCAGCTGTTTTTCAAATGTATTTTTTGGGGGAAAAAAAATATACTTTAGTGAATTAAAAAAAAAACACTATATACCCCATTTTTTTGTAAAATATGAAAGAGGATGTTACACCGAGTAAATGGATACCTAACATGTCACGCTTCAAAATTGCACATGCTTGTGGAATGGCAACAAACTATGATACTTAAAAATCTCCATAGGCGGTGTTTTAAAACCTTTTACAGGTTACTTGTTTAGAGTTGCAGAGGAGGTTTAGCACTAGAATTATTGCTCTCGCTCTAATGTTCACGGTTGTGGACACTGTTTACATATGCGTTTGCTTTTTTCTGATTTTATTTTTACACTGCCCCTTTTATTTATTTATTTTTTTTAATCGCTTTTATTCCTATTACAAGGAATGTAAACATCTCTTGTAAAATAAATATGCATGACAGGTCCTCTTTAAGGAGAAATCGGGGTCAAAAAGACCCCAAATCTCTCCTTTACCTTTTTAAAAGCAAATAGATTGTTTAACTTTTGCTTTAAAAAAAGAAAAAAAAATAGTTTACATCCGCCCACCGTCCGGAAGGGATATCGTGATGTTGCTCCAGTCCTCCATCATGATAGAGGTGATCAGAGACCATAGAGTCTCTCATTGCCTCCATCTTTAGCCAACTGCACCGCCAGATCGTTTCACTGGTACACCGGTTTTAACGGTAAGCCCGAGAAACACCGGCGAGAGGTGGGCGAGGTCCCCTCACTCCGCTACAGAAAGCGATCCAGTGGCTGAAGAACTGCTAGGATCACTTTCAATAGAAAACCAGCCATTGGCTGAAAAAAAAAAATACTGTGGTTATGCCTGGTTTTCATAGCCCTCAGTAAACCATTTGACACCTGCAATGTTTATATACGTATTGCAGTCATCAAGCAATGTATATTACTACCGTGAGAGTAGTGTACCCAAACTGGGATGTCCCTACCGTGAGAGTAGTGTACCCAAACTGGGATGTCCCTACCGTGAGAGTAGTGTACCCAAGCTGGGATGTCCCTACCATCAGAGTAGTGTACCCAAACTGGGATGTCTTTACTGTGAGAGTAGTGTACCCAAGCTGGGATGTCCCTACCATCAGAGTAGTGTACCCAAGCTGGGATGTCCCTACCATCAGAGTAGTGTACCCAAGCTGGGATGTCCCTACCATCAGAGTAGTGTACCCAAACTGGGATGTCCCTACCGTGAGAGTAGTGTACCCAAGCTGGGATGTCCCTACCATCAGAGTAGTGTACCCAAGCTGGGATGTCCCTACCATCAGAGTAGTGTACCCAAACTGGGATGTCTTTACTGTGAGAGTAGTGTACCCAAGCTGGGATGTCCCTACCATCAGAGTAGTGTACCCAAGCTGGGATGTCCCTACTGTGAGAGTAGTGTACCCAAGCTGGGATGTCCCTACTGTGAGAGTAGTGTACCCAAACTGGGGTGTCCCTACTGTGAGAGTAGTGTACCCAAACTGGGGTGTCCCTACTGTGAGAGTAGTGTACCCAAGCTGGGATGTCCCTACCATCAGAGTAGTGTACCCAAACTGGGATGTCCCTACCGTGAGAGTAGTGTACCCAAACTGGGATGTCCCTATCATCAGAGTAGTGTACCCAAACTGGGATGTCCCTACCGTGAGAGTAGTGTACCCAAGCTGGGATGTCCCTACCATCAGAGTAGTGTACCCAAACTGGGATGTCCCTACCATCAGAGTAGTGTACCCAAGCTGGGATGTCCCTACCATCAGAGTAGTGTACCCAAACTGGGATGTCCCTACCATCAGAGTAGTGTACCCAAACTGGGATGTCCGTACCGTGAGAGTAGTGTACCCAAGCTGGGATGTCCCTACCTTCAGAGTAGTGTACCCAAGCTGGGATGTCCCTACCTTCAGAGTAGTGTACCCAAGCTGGGATGTCCCTACCATCAGAGTAGTGTACCCAAGCTGGGATGTCCCTACCATCAGAGTAGTGTACCCAAGCTGGCATGTCCCTACCATCAGAGTAGTGTACCCAAGCTGGCATGTCCCTACCATCAGAGTAGTGTACCCAAGCTGGCATGTCCCTACCATCAGAGTAGTGTACCCAAGCTGGCATGTCCCTACCATCAGAGTAGTGTACCCAAGCTGGCATGTCCCTACCATGAAAGTAGTGTACTCAAACTGGAGCCAGCTAAAAGTTAGAAGTCAATTTTTTTTAGCGTATTTTTGGTTGTCAGTACCTGGGGCTATGCAACTTCTGGGTAACAAGCTTTACACGATGCGATTTGCTGGGTGATCATCATGGCAAAACCACACCATGTTTTAGGTGTCACTGAAAATAATGGCACCAGAACCTGCGTTTTGCAGTCACCGAGATCCTGCCGTGATCCCAAAATGCCCAAGTGTGAATGGAACTGCCCTGATTTACACATATGCGATTCTGGATGCATTTTCAAATTCAGAGATTCGCATGACAGGCTAGATATTGTGTGTTCCTATTGAGATGGTTCACACAGATGAGTTCTATTAAAAAAAGGGTCCTGTGCACGTTTTGTAGCTGTGCATTCCAGAATCGCAAGTGATAAGTAGAGTGGCATGCGGAGATAAATGTTCACATAGGATTGCTTTTAACAGGAGATTTTGCATTGAGGTCAGTGGGAGGTAATTTTGCATTAAAGTTAGTAGGCGGAAGTGTGTGAACCAAGGCGCCAGGACGCAATTTCTAGTCGCCATGGCAACCTGGCACCTGGGATTTGTCGAACGCGGCTTTAGGTATTGCACTGATGGATTGAAAACTTGTTACTTATCTGCTAAGTGAATTGCTTCAAAATTCAGAATTCTGTTCTTGGGGACGTAATCCACTAATGTGTCGCACAGTGGTATGGAGCTGTGCTTAAAGTGGTGGGGAGCTTACATTCTTTTAAGAGACTTTACTGGACTCTTCTGTCATAATTGCACCCCCCTGACCTGTCATTGGTAATGTAACGTGACTTGTTCATGCACAGCTCAGACCACATTTACAGTACATACTGTATGCCATGGTTATGTTACTTGCCCGCATGGGAGTGACCT